TCTTCCTTGTGGATTGGTTCTATAGTATTTTATCGATGAGAAGTTGTACCTTTTGGACTTGTTGATAATTATCTCATATGTTTCTCTTTCTGTGTTTAGTTATAATTGGGTTGTGCTTGTTAGGTTGGATTGAGATGTATGTACCTAGGTGGCATCTTGGTGTGGCTTGTTGGTCGGGTGAGTAGTTATGATTTTCACATGTTTCTTGCATCATTGTAGGTGTTGTGAAGGTTTGGAACAAGGTTCTAGTCGATATGAGACTATTTATCGGTACCGGATTGGGTAATGGGAAGCTATTGTGGTTAGAGTTATTGCTAAAGGCATATGGGTGGTGTGTTATATCAGGTGGTTATACCTTGTGGATGTATGCATAAGCTATTACAGCTAGTTGAGGATTTCACAGTGTGTTTGTGTGATAATACGGCCCTTGGTGGATGTGAAAATTTGGTTCTAAGGCTTATCGGCATGAGTGGAAGGAATAATCTTCAGTTGTGATGATGTTGTTGGGATTATGTGGATTGATGTGACGTAAGATCACCCGAGGGCATGTGTATGGTAAGTTTATATAGTGATTTGATGGCTTGGGAAAGACCCTTGGCACGTTCGAGGACGAACATTTGTTCAAAGGGGGAGAATGTAACGACCCGACCGGTCGTTTTGAGCCTTAGCATTCCATTCAGTGGTTTGAGGTCTTGAGTGACTTCATATTATGTATTATGACTTGCATGCATGGTCGGATTTGATTTTCGGATGTTTCGCGATTTATTTGGAGGAGTGATTCTCATTTTAGAAGCTTAAGTTGAAAATGTTGACCGAGGTTTGACTTTTGTTAAAACGACCCCAGAACTATTTTTGATGGCTAGGTTCGTATCATTATTTTGGACTTGGGCGTACGCCCAAAATTAAATTCGGAGGTCCCTAGGTTTATTTGGTTTGTTTTGCCGAAAGTTGGCAATTTATAGACTTAGAATTTTGATAAGTTTGACCGTAGATTGATGGCTATCGGGTTCGAATTTTGGTTTTCAGAGTTGGAATAGGTCTGTTTTGTTAATTGGAACTTGTCTGCAAAGTTTCGTGTCATTCCGAGTTGATTTGATAGGAATCAAACACGCGGTTGTGTTTTTTGAAGTTCTTGAGTTTCATGTAAAATTTCATGCATTTTCATGTCTGTTCCTAATTATAGATGTTATTTTCGTGTTTAGATCGTATGAGCGAGTTCTTATATTTTTAGACTTGTGTTGATGTTTGGCGTGGAGCTCCAAGGGCTCGGATGAGTTTCATATGCGTTTGGAAAGTTTGAGAGAAGTGTAGAATTTTCTAGTGTTCTGGTCTAGCATTTGCGAGAAATAGGTGGCATTTACGAGTTCTCTTCACATTTGCAAAATTCACTGAGGGCTGCAGAGTTCGCATTTGCGAACTCTGGATCGCATTTGCGATAATGGCCTGGGCTAGGGAAGGATCTCTTTTGTGACCAACTGGTTGCTTTTGTGAAAAGGCCAAGGATCGCATTTGCGAGCTTTTTGTCACGTTTGTGATGAGGCCATACTTCGCTTTTGCGAAGATATGTAGCTTTTGCGATGTCTATGGGAGCTTAGTAATGTTTGCTTTTTTCTAATAATGGGCAACATCTGCGGTTGTCGCATTTGCGAACCCTGGGTCGCAGATGCGACTTCTGTAGCTGAACATAAGGGTTGAGTTACGAGATTTTGATCTTATCTTTTATATTTTGGAACCCTAGACTCGGTAGGAGGTGAATTTGAAGAGGGATTTTCATCTACAATCATTGGGTAAGTGATTTTGATCAATTTCCAACTATATTTCATGATTATATCTTAGATTTAATATCAAATTTGTGAGAATCAAAGTGAATTTGTCTATGTTTTGAAAAATGTAAATTTGGGATTCGTGGAGTTATGGGTAGTCGAAATCTACCTTAGACTCGGGTTTTGACCGAACAAACCCAGGGTTGACTTTTGAGGAATTCTTCAAAGATCATAGCTCTATTTATTGGAATCGATTTCTCTTGCATTATTTGATGTTATTAAGTCGATTTTGGTTAGATTTGAGCTGAGCGGAGGTGTATTGTAAAGAAAAAACTATTTTTGAGTATTGATTGAGGGAGTTTGAGGTAAATATCTTGCCTAACTTTGTGTAGAGGAACTACCCCATAAGGATTGATTTATTTGAACTACGTGGAAGACGTGTACACGAGGTGAAGAGTGTGTACACGGCCTTATATGTGAAAATTTGACCGGTTTAGACTCTTAGGTTTCTTCTGTACATTAAATTGGCGAGACAAGGCAGATATTTACTTTATTGTTGCGCGCCTGGCGAGACAAGGGTCCTATGTCGGGGATGATGTGTGATGGCCTGGGGGCATTGTCATTTATAATATTTGTGTGGTGGTGTGACTATCTTGTGTGATCCATACATATTACGAGTTTGTATTGTGTAGTTTCCAATGTGGTATTTGGTGTCACTGATCTTACCTGTTGATTTGAGCTGTAATTGTACACTTGCACAAGCAATTGCTATAATGTGTTACCTATATCAATCTAAGAGTATGAATCTTGTTGTTTATTGACCCGGTACACGTATCCTTATATACCTACCTTCTGTGCATAAATTGGATTGTTGGTACGTGAGTTGTCCGTGCGGATTTGAGATATTATTATTATTGGCACGTGAGTTGACCATGTAGATCTGAGGCATTAATGGTATTAACACGTGAGTTGTTCATGTAGCACGTTAGTTGTCTGTGCGGTTTTAATTGATAATGTCGGCACGAGATACCAAGTGTGATTCATGATTTGGGACCCGTGATTGTGATTGTGAGGTGTGGTAACTCGGGGTGATTCTTGGGTAAATCTTGTGTAAGAGGGGTTGATTATTTGGTTGTTACTTGTTTTTCCTCACTTGGTTTCACTGGGACTTAAATCGCATTCTGATTACTTTATAGTGTTATTACCTGTTTACTCTTTGTTGCTAATTGTTTCTTCTATTTTCCATTTGCTAGTGTTGTATTGTTATTCTTTCCATGTTTAGCTTTATATTGACATTATTCTCTATTAGCTTGATATTCACACTTGTACAAGTTATTATGTCTAGTAGGTATCTTGACTGTACCTTGTCACTACTCCACCGAGGTTAGTCTTGATACTTATTGGGTACCGCTGTGGTGTACTCATGCTACACTTGCTGCACATTTATTTGCAGATCCAGGTACCTCGCTCACAGCATTCATTAGTTAGCTGATTGTAAGTTGCAGCGGAGACTTCAAGGTACACCTGCCATCGCGTTCCCAGGCCCCAGAGTCACCTTTTGGACTTTTACATTGTTATTATTTACTTCTATTTCAAATAGTGATGTATCTGACATTCTTAGTTATTCTTAGAAACGCTTATGACTTGTACTACCGGTATTGAGATATTGTACATCTATTGATGATTGTTGGCTATGTATGGCAATTATTGGTTCATATTTAATAGTTAGTTGGTTCATATGTATGGCAATTATTTAGTTAATAACTCTCTATGTGTTAGACTTACCTAGTCCTAGGGACTAAGTGCCATCACGATTCCTAAGGAAGGTTTTGGGGTCGTGACAAATATACTATTTGAATGAATAACAGTAATTGAAGATGGAAGGGGATTCCAGTGTGCTGCAAACTAGGCGAAGCAGCTCCCACTATAAGTATCTAAATAAGTTTGTAAGCTCCCTCCTGAACTCTGCTGGCGCTAGGGTCATAACTCGCAAATGAAATGTAAAATGGTAGTATGAGTACACCAACACATACTCAGTAAGTATCATCGATTGTTCTCAATAAAGTAATGTCGAGGAATTGTATCAAACTTGCTCACGTTATGAAAACAATAATAAAGTATAGAAACAACATAATTAGATATGCACGAGTCTAGCATTTATAGGAAATGCAACAAGAAAAGTCGATAATTACTAATGCATAATAAAGACTTAAGCTTTACAATCAAATGGCACTACATATGCTCTAACACTCCACGTATCGAACAATCCAGTTGTGTGCACACTGCCCGTGGTAATCAGGTGATACAATAAATAACGAGGGACGGGTTCATATTCGCACGCAATATCTAACCGCATAAACGAATTCATGTGTATATCATAGTTCACACGGACAACTCATGTTCTATAATCACAATTAAGTGTGAAATCCTAGATGCGACTTATAAACATATGTACAGTGCATGACCAACAGCCTAAACATAGTCCACATGATCAAACTCTGAAACAAATCAAAATTCAGTTACTCATAACTTTATGAGTCCAAATCTATTCTTCGATTTTTTTAATTCAAGTCCATTAAGGCATTTAAATTAATATTAAGGCGATTCTAAGTTTTCTCTAAAGTTTCATCACCATTCACCTTCAATCCCTGTTTTTAAGGTAAATCTATAAATGGATCCATGATATAATCATAAATATGAGTTAGAATTACTTACTCCAACGTCATGGATGATAATCAAATACAATTCCCCTTAAAACCGAGTTCCTAATTCTTAAAATTAATGGAGGATGAACTAAAATTACAAAATGGAGCTATTTATACTAAACTGAGATTCTGGCCTAAAAAGGCACCAGGCGCAGAGGCACCTAAAATGCATCTGGGGCAGGTGCAGCCCTCAGGTGCGGCTCACCTCTGCAGCTGCACCAGCACCAGTTTTCAATAATGTTTCAACTTTCCCCAAATATGCCAAAACTCACCGGAGGAACCCCAGGAACTCTCCAAATTATGCCAACAAGTCCCAAAATAATACGAACCTATCCAAGTTTTCGAAACATGAAACATAATGCAAAGGCTAAAGTTGAGGGATTGGGTACATTGTACTAAACAGAAACACAGTGGTATAAATAGTACTATGGCTCAAATATTATAAATCCTTCAGTGATAACATTCTTTCTCATATAAAAATTTAATAGGTTTAATTAAGAAAGAATTTGTAAATTGCAGAACAAAGAACAAATTAGCCCCTTATCAAAGTAAGCCACTAGTAAAAGGAACTCCAGTTGCAGGCAACCAAACATCTCCTTGAATTAAACTTGAAACAGTGAAGTTGACAGCATCCGTCTCATTTATCACATGGTAGCCTTGCCAAGTGACTCTATTAGTGGTCACAGACCCTGGCCCTGTGTTGGCGTATTCAGCATAATACAATGTATTGAGAGCAAAATCTCCCGACCATGGAGACCAACCAGCAAGATCAATCAAACTGTCCATAAATGATTGTATATACACCGTTCTCGAGTACTCTTTCCATGGCCTCCCTAGAAAAGTTTGAGTAGAAGCCAAGTCTTGGGCAGCTTTGATGCTGCAATTTTGGACTGAAATTCCAGTGTTTTGATTGATATCCATTCTGCCCTGTGCCGTAATGGCATTGAATTGATTAGGCATTGGGAGACGCGGATAAATGTTGCAATTTTGGAACACTACAGCAGCATTCCCGAATATGAAATCCACTGTCCCATAAATATCGCATTCTCTATAAAATTGCCTTAGGGAGTGAGTATACATGGTGTCTTGGTACCCTTCAAAGCTACAGCCATAAAATGTGGACATGTCTGCACCATTTCTTATAGCTACCGCTTGGTGCTTGATTGATCCTGCCGTGTTTCTAAAGGTTATGTTCATAGCAACGAATCCTTTCCCGGTTACAGCTGCCAAAGAAGGTAAACAATTTAAGGGTTTAAATTATGTATTTTGATAGTGTTAAAAAAATAAAAGTTTATAGTTTTAGGAGATCTAAAGATAACTATATATGTTGTTCATAACAAGTGAGACTAATAACCTAAAAAATCAGGATGTAATCTGCTATATATATAACAAGTTAAAATAAACTAGTATAGAGCCCGTTTGGATTGGCTAAATTTAAGTAGCTTTTAAGCATTTGATGCTTAAAAGCACTTTCTAAGTGTTGGAGCTTGTTTTAGAAATAAGCAGTTATGTGTTTGGATAAAAATATTTGAGCTGAAAATAAGTTGTTCATGTGCTTGGATAAAAAGTGCTTATAAACACATTTACTGTTATAAAGACAAATATTCTTAAAACTGTTAACACTATAGATAAGTTAATTACTATAAGATCTTTAATTCTAAAATGATTCTAATCTCAATTAATTCATGTTTCAAGTCATGTCAAATTAAATTAATTGGACAAATTTTAAAATAATTTTTGTTTAAATTACTTTATCAAACAATCAATAAAAGTTAAATAAAAGACAAACACATAAATAACATATATAGTCCCAGAATATGAATAGTTGAAATTTGGTATTGAGCTTTTTACGATTGAGCAAAATCCTAATTGACAGAATAATGATAATTAAAATTGTCCACTTGCCTTCACGAGATTACACAGAAACAATGACCACATAGAAATTAAACAACTCTCTAGAAATTAATGTGATAATGTGTGCATATACGGAGGAACATTTCACTTGCGTTTTTAATTAACTAGAACTTTCAATATGAGTAGCTGACATGACTTGCATAGAATTGTTGTGACCGCCTAGTTTCAATGAACTAAATACAATCCCACCC